CCTTCAACATTGAGGTTGGTTAAGCGTATATAGTATAATAAATCTTCCAATTTTTGTTGTTAGGTTGTGATGGATAATGATAAAATGGCGCAAACAGCTCAGATTCATGAATTTATGTATTTTTATGATGAAGCAAATCCGAAAATTTAGTGCTGATTAGATAATAATCAAAATGGTACCTAAAGTTTTTACATAGTACCAATGCACAAAACGTAGTTTCTATTCATCGCATGTGCCCTAGTTATAATAAACTTGACAGTAGTTGAATATCTGAAATTAATACATAAGAGAAAGCGAGAACCATTGACTAAATAGCAGCGTCGCAATCTTCTAGATTAATGTTGTCTCTTTCATCTGTTAATTACAAGATTATGGTCTTCAATGGTCGTATTAAAGAGTGATTATATTGCAGGAAGCCGTTAGTCAGTAGGTGAGATTTGCCTGACTTGTCTAGTTAAAAGTATTACAGATCATTAGATATGTTCTTTCTTCTCATATTAGGTAAAGTGCCACACAGATAAATCTTGTATTAGCAGCACTAATCTGACCTAACATCTTTGGAGCCCTTGTTCATGAAAAGTTATTAGACACAGACTATATTAGAGTCAATTAGTTGTTAGTGCCAACTAATTTACTCATGGCGGGTAGAATTGCGAAAGATGGTGAAAATTCAGAATTGATTATCAATGTACTTAATGCAGGATCTATTCATCGCTGGAAGCGACACATCTGCGCTCACGACGGAATGGGCGATGGCGGAACTCCTCCGCAATCCAAGCCTCCTCCAAAGATCGAGAGATGAGCTTGTCATGGTGATCGGCACCAAGAGGCCAGTTCAAGAATCGGACACTCACCACCTCCCATATCTCCAAGCAATCGTCAAGGAGACGCTCCGTCTCCACCCGGCGGCGCCTCTCCTCCTCCCTTATGTATCCAAAAATGACGTGGAAGTGTGCGGGTACGTTGTCCCGAAGGGCATGCAAGTCCTGGTGAACGCATGGGCCATAGGGCGAGACCCGAACTACTGGGAAGACCCGCTGTCGTTTAGGCCCGAGCGGTTCTTGGGGTCGAACGTGAATTACAAAGGGAGGGACTTCGAGTATATCCCGTTCGGCGCGGGCCGAAGGATCTGCCCCGGATTGCCGCTCGCCGTCCGGATGGTTCATCTCATGGTGGCTTCGCTCATTCAATCGTTTAATTGGAAACTTCCTGAGGGAATGGCGCCTAGCAGTTTGGATATGCAAGAGCAATTTGGTGTTACTTTGAGGAAGGCCATACCTTTAAGAGCAATTGCTAGTTTAGATTGAAAAGGAAGTTGTGATTGATCCTTGACGACTTGATTGGCGTTTCGATGTGATTTTTAAGCGCTGTTTTTGCTTCCAAAGCTTCAATCAACTATGGAGCACTTTTGTGAAGTTGCTTCTACTACTTATAAGTTCATGGAGCGATTGGCAAGCCTTCTAAAATAAAAATGCCGTGCTAGATAAAATAACAGTGATCTACGATATTTGTATATTGAGCGACGTGATAAACTCTTGTTCGATGTTAAACATGATTCACTTGTTTAAAGTTCATTGGTAGTCTGCCACGCCACTTAGTATGTGACGGGAAGGAAATCCCTAAGTCAAAGCGCAAATTTGACTATAGGCTATTGGGGATACGAAATTCAAGTTCACACTCCAGTCCAGTCAAGACTCTTCGCACGGTGTTCAAGCCTAAAATTCATTTGTAGTTTGCCCTACGGTCATGGCATCGCCTGTCAACCCCTCAACTCCTTCTGCGCGTCCCGGAGACGATACCTCAGCTTGCGACTGCCATGCAAGTCGAGAATCAGTAGGTCTTAGGTTTCTTCTTGCCTCTCCCATGGTCTGAGTTTCGTTGCTGAACGTATCTTTGTACTTATACTCTCTGCTTGGGCAGTTACTTCTTCTTCCTACTGCTTCCACGATCTCCTCCATGCATGTCTGGACTCAACTGTTACCACGGATCTCCTCACTTTGCCCTGCGGTCTTGGCATCGCCTGTCACCCCCTCAGCTCATAACGCACGTCCCCGACACAATAACTCAGCTTGCAAGTGCCATGCACGTCGAGAAAATAAGTAGGTCTTAGGTTTCTTCTTCCCTCTCTCTTGGTCTGAGTTTCGTTGCTGGTCGAGGATTTTGCTGGGTTGAGTTCTGTGCAAAGCCGAAATTCACCTCGTGCCCGATTTTGGATCGGGCCTTGTTCAGTAAAACTTACCAAAAATCAAAGGCCCGATGGTCATCCTTAGTGACAGATCATGATGATCTGGGCTTGTAATAGGATTGGCCTCTTGCTGCTGTTTGTGTGCGTTAATACAGCCTAAATTTCAGATTGTTTATACAGTTTAATTGGAAAAAAAATGAAAAAAAAGAAACGTCTTCATATGAAAACAATAATTGGATGGCCATGCATAGAACAAGTCAGTTAAAACAAAAATGCTATATAGAAAACTTATGTTTTTCGTAATTGATATATCTACTTGTCCTTTATTTTTGCATTATTGGAGAAAAAGGCGGGGCCTGATAATATATGTGTCTTCTATCTGAAATGATCTTTTTATATTATGTTCATGTGAATTTATTAATGCTCTATCAAGAATGATGGTCTTTTCTTGTATTTAGAAATATAAATGTAGTTTTTTTCTTATAGTGTTATCAAGAAATGAGTTCTCTTATCGAGTTTGTGTTATTTTCATTGATATTCATTTTAATGGACAACTTACATGTGAAATTTACACCAAACACGAATTAAAAGTTTAATTAGTACTTAAACTTGCCAAATGTTATTTGTAACACTCATATTTTTAACCAACATATTGTGATTTAGTGTAAGTGAAGATCACTTTTGCTTAGTTAACATTCAAATGAAAGAAAAGACCACGAATTACTAATGTTCTTTGGGTTAACATCACCCAAATCGGTACATCCATAACACATTTATTCCAAACAAATTTTTTATCTCTAAAATCCCCAAAGTTGTGACAAGTCTTACATCAATTAGCTTCCTTCCAATGTACCTTTAAAATTGCTGCCGTGGAAACACACGTGGCAAGCGACTTATTCAAATTTTGGAAACTGGTCAAGCTCGTCCCATGGATCCCGGTCCAGCAGGATCCCGGTCCAGCAGGGAAGAGAAGATCTTGGAAAGATCTTGAAACTTTTGACATCTCAGGGCGAACATTCAGAACGCTGGCAACACATCTCTTGTAAAATCTGCCATGGAAAATGCGAAGTCCAAATGATAATTGTTCTTGAGCGAAGAATCTATAAAACCTCACAAATCCGCCCTCACCAAATCTCCACGGGCACCCTCTTGATGGCCACAGACACCATTTCCAGCAGCTTCCCTTTCAAACAAGGCCTCCCTCACGTTTCGAAAATCTGTTAAAATTCCTTTGTCTAAGATTTTGGTGATTCGGAGGAGACAAAAGGAACAAAATTAATTTTGCCCTAATTCCCAATCTCAATTTTCCTTTCTTCATATCCGCTTTCCCCACAGTGACGTTGTTCAGAGAGCCATTTATGTTGAATTTCCAAATCAAATCCACGTCAGACATGTTGCTTGCCTTGTTTGTTGCCACATCAACAATTTCACAAAGATATTTGATGAAAGCTAACTGAAAATAGATTTGTCATGGAAATACAGTTTGTATTTTATGGAATGAACATTAATTTTAGATAAATGAGTCACAAGGTTTTGATTTATTATTTTCCGTGATATTGTCCCTTATATTGAACCCCCAACAGTTAGCTAAATCTCACTCAAAGTAATCTAAAGGGAAGATGATACAAATGGTTATTGAACTTTGGCCTAATATGTAATGTGATCTTTAAACTTTACTCCAATGTGTAATGTTGTCCCTGAACTTTTAAATTGTTCAATGCGATCCCTGGACTTTTGGTATAGGTTCAACTTAGTCCCTGAACTATATGAAAATGTTCAATGTTGTCCTTGAACTTGAATTAATGGAAGGACAATATTGAACATGTTCATATAATTCATGGACTAAATTGAACATGTATAAAAACTCGAGAGACCACATTAAATAAATTAAAGTTCAGGGACCGCATTACATATTGAAGTAAAGTTCAAAAATCACATTGAATAAATTAAAAATTCATAAATAACATTGCAAATGGAGTCAAAGTTCAGAGACCATTTGTGTCATTATCCCTGATCTAAAGGCTCACACCCGCTACCCTGCAAAAGAGTCCTATTTGATGCACAGGATGGGAGGTTTGCATTTCATGCAATAAGGAGATAAGTCAAATTAGGTTTCATATTACTTAGGAAAAAAAAAAGAGTCTGATAGGTATTTTGAACACAAAGATGCCCTCTCACCTCCTTAATTATGCTCGGCTGCATAGAAGAACATGATGTGTGTGTTCGTCCGAGAGCATTACCAATACATAACACACTAGTGTCACTTATATAGCTGTGTTCACTCCTCTAGACCAAGATGTTCGCTCCTTTGCCCATCTCTAGTTCTGGTGTAGCTAAGCTTGAAGGCTGTGCTTTTCGATATAGCCGCCAGAATACTGAATTTTTCTTTTTCCTTTTTGCTGAGAAGACTGAAATTCAGTCACTCCATGCATTCTCAAACGAATAGTACAAAACTTTCATGGAGTGAAGAGAGCCCCCATAATGTCTCACCCCACTCGACAACCTCACACTCCTCATCTTAAACCAGCCAAACACACCATGCCAAGTGTCCTGCCAAATATCCATACTGCATCAAATGACCACCAAGCTTTCCCATACCTTTGGATTAATCACCCTCACACAAACTCTTCTTGACGGCCATTTCTCAAATTTAACTGTGAAAAATATCTTGTACAGTAGTTTTACTTTCCAACGATTTTTCAGGGTTAATGCAACCCCTTTTGTTTAGGCCACCCATGTTCCTTTCTCCTGCCACCTCAAGATCACCTCCCAAGTTTTGTCCGAACCGAGGTCTAGCCACAGCAGCCAATTCCATAAAGGACACAAAAGCTTCCATCCATCAAGATGACATTTTCCTGTTTTGCATTCCATCAAAAAAACACTGCGCTTCACTCTCCATCCAAAATTCACCTCACTCGAAACTTGTGTTCCAAATTGGTTCATTGAAACCAGAAGCCATTCTATCCAAGAACCTACTTGGTATATACCCACAAACCAAGATCATATAACAACTCTCACCCTGTTCAGAGACTCAGAATTCTCTCTAGGCAGAGAGAGGGAAGGAACAAGAATCAAGATAAATGGCAGTTTGTACAGTCTATACTACCCAATCCCTCCACTCAACATGCTCAATCTCCACACCCTCAAAGACCCAACTGGGGTTCAACCAGAAGAAGCAAATCTTGTTCTACAACAGTGGCAAGAGGGTCACCAACAGAGGCATCACCACAGTCCCATGGGTGATCAGGTGCTCAGGGGACACAATAGTGATTGGCCTAGCAGCTGACTCAGGCTGTGGCAAGAGCACCTTCATGAGGAGGCTGACCAGCGTATTCGGGGGCGCCGCCGAGCCGCCGAAGGGAGGCAACCCGGACTCGAACACCCTCATCAGTGACACAACCACCGTGATATGCCTCGACGACTACCATTCCCTGGACAGGACTGGGAGGAAAGAGAAGGGAGTGACTGCACTTGACCCAAGGGCCAACAACTTTGATCTCATGTATGAACAGGTTAAGGCATTGAAGGAAGGCAAGGCTGTGGACAAGCCTATCTATAACCACGTCAGTGGCCTCTTGGACCCTCCTGAGCTCATCAAGCCTCCCAAGATCCTGGTCATTGAGGGACTTCACCCAATGTAAGTCCTATCTTCAGATTGCAACTCTCTTCTTTTTTCTCTATGTTTAGAAGATGGCCTAATAGTCATCTATAATTCTGCACTGTTAAGTAGGATTAATCAAGCTGATATGTTGTGTATTCTGATTTAGAGTGTAAGTAGAATAATGTAGGTGGACAGGAAGAGTTTGAGCTTTCGGATAACAAGAGATAACAGAAACTTAAGTCAGTGCCTCAAGCAGGATTTTCCGTGGCTAAGGAACAATCTCTGTCCCTATCACCTTTTTTTCTGATGGGCCTCGCACCGGCCCAATTCACTCCCATGCCCCTTCATTTATGGCAGACAGATTGAGCTGAGGACATGAACTCTGTATCAGTCCTGGGATAGACTCATTCTAATTGAACCGTAAAAAAATTCAGCAAATCACAGCCTAACAAATTCGTGGGCTCCATGTTGCTCTTAAACTTTAGAATTAGGTTGCATTTAGATCTTTGAAATGCGATTATCTTGATCGATTAACAAATTCACAAAGGTGCCTTAGAATATATACTCTACCAAGATCTGGAGAAGATAATGATGAAATATTTTTCAATTATAACGTACTTCATAGTTTAACTATAACAAAATATAATTTAATGCAAAAGCAGTTCATTTATGAGAAAGAACAGGAGACTTTTGCTCCCGCTCTTGGATGGATGTTCAACACCAAAGGAAACTAACATAATTATGCATATTCAGGTTCGACCAGCGTGTTCGGGACCTGCTGGACTTCAGTATATATTTGGACATCAGCAATGAGGTCAAATTTGCATGGAAAATTCAGGTACTTAATATGTTTCAGGGAAAAGCCGGCTATTGTTGCTCCTGTTATATTCATGTCCTGCAATCCTAAAATAAGCGATGAATTGCAGAGGGACATGGCCGAGCGAGGACACAGTCTCGAGAGCATCAAAGCTAGCATTGAAGCCCGAAAGCCAGATTTTGAAGCCTTTATAGGTGAATCAAAATCACTCCCTAAACTACACTGTCATACCTTGATTGGGATCGGTTCATCTCATACAAATGTAGTAGATTTCGAGACTGACATTTGAACAAATGCCAATTGAAAGGATCCCACAAATTACTCCAATTAGGGACACTCTGAAGTGTCATCCCTCCTTATAAAGGGGAACAATCTTTCAGCTACATTTCCGTGATACCCCTATATAGTGATATTAAACCTCCTCTATATATGTTTACACTCTGTACTTATGTTCCCCAAAGTAACTGTTTGATCCAAACCAAAATTCACTTTTCTGACAGCGTGACACACGTTTATATTTGTCTAACATTGTAAAATACTAGTTTGAAATTTCCATTTACCATGCCTATGGACAGTGTACTCATTAACATGTGCTCATTTGTTTTCTTGCCTTTGCACAGACCCACAAAAGCAGTATGCAGACGCAGTGATTGAAGTGTTGCCAACACAGCTAATCCCCGGTGATAATGAAGGGAAGATTCTTAGAGTGAGGTTGATAATGAAAGAGGGTGTCAAGTATTTCAGCCCGGTGTACCTGTTTGATGAAGGCTCGACCATCTCTTGGATCCCATGTGGAAGAAAGCTCACTTGCTCTTACCCCGGTATCAAGTTCACTTATGGCCCCGAGTCTTACTTCGGCCACGAGGTATATATCTCAAGATCACTTGATTTTGTTCTCTCCTCACTGTTAATACTCTGTTTGATGTCAATATTCTTCAGCTGAACAATAAAAATTTCTCAATTAGGTCCAGAAAAAGCCGTTGAAAACCCAAATGTACATGACCTATCGAATACCGCTAATGTTTTAGATTGCACACAACACATTTTAACGACATGATCCTTGTAATTTTCTTGAATGACAATGGTTTCACGTAATACTCAGGTAGATATATTGAGGATGAATAATCTTGTCAAAACTTAGGATGTTCACGTGATGTTTTGATTGAGGATGATGTAAATGTACTTTTTCCAAAATCTTCACTATCCAAATGCTGGGAGGCATTAGCATTTCAATATTATATAGCATAATCAACAATTTTTTGCGTTCATTGTCCAAAAGTTGCAGTCTTTGTTGAACATACGACTGACTCCTACATGCTTCGAACTGTAGGTGTCTGTGGTGGAGATGGATGGGCAATTTGACAGACTAGATGAGCTCATCTATGTGGAAAGCCATTTGAGCAACCTCTCCACAAAATTCTATGGTGAAGTCACCCAGCAGCTGCTGAAGCATGCCGAATTCCCCGGAAGCAGCAACGGCACTGGTCTCTTCCAGACCATCGTTGGCCTAAAAATCAGAGACCTCTTTGAGCAACTCACAGCCAGCAAAGCAGCCGCACGATTAGAAGCCACTAAAGCTTAGGAGCTTCCAAATACTAGTTCCCCTCTTTCTTTCATCCTTCTGTTTTCACTGTTCATTCATGGTTTAAAGTGACTATTGGGGTTGTTGAGAAGGGAAGGATCTGCATGTATTTTGTCATCAGGACAATTTGTTGTATGGAGATCTGTAACATAGACAAACAGGGGCAGAGAGATCAGTTACTCGGTAAAATACAAAAAAGAGATTGGTACACTCAGCATCGCGCACTCTTCTTTGCATAAAATCTCAGTGGTCTTGAATCTTATTTAGGTCCCATTGTGATAAAGGCGCGCTCGGACGATTCTTCCCTAATTCCTTTGTTGATAAAGGGAGGTTCAGGAGATTACGAGTTTTTGAGGAAAAATTCCAGTCAGATATGAAAAACTAGAATCAGTTTATTTGCAGGTTCTGCACATATTTACAGGTTTCTGCAATATTTCCCACAACCTGAAAAGACAGTTTTTTTTATGGTGGGGTTAACCCTCAAATAGCAAAGAGAGTTGAATTCAGCCGAACCTGACCAGCAGCTCGATACATGCCACCAGAGGGTTTAACATGTATCTACCAAAAGAGAAGCAAAACAGGGAGAAAGGAAATTGGTGTTGAAGTCAGAACAGAGAGTCTTAGATAACAGCTTCCGAGGGCTAAGCTCCAAACCGTTGATGGTGGGGTTAAGCAAACAAGAATCTCTGCCACTTTTTACAGTAAAAAATGTTGAAGACAAGGATCAAAGAGAGAGGAGTGAAGAAGGAGAGAGATATGCAGTGATACTTCGTTTGTACTTCTCCGTCAACATTCCAAAGACAGCAAGACTATTTTCCAAGCATTTTCAATCACCGAAACACTTTGAGCAGTACGTCCCCACTGTCCATAGACATTGGGAACACGGTATTCGTAACACTTGACGTTGCTAACTTTGCAAATAGAGAACCAAAATTGAGTTTGGCATGAACAAAACAGAGACGTCAAGTTCTCTCCTGTAAAATGTAGGTATGAGCAAAATAGAACTTTTCAGTCTGCAACGAGAATTAATGAGCAAGTTGAATTCTGGGCAAAGGTTATTAAACCAGTACTAGAAAACCGAAACTGAGTACATATTTGAGATGGAGAAGCATTAGCATATAATAGAAAAGGCTACATTACAGAGAAGCTATATACACCAACAAGTCAACTTCAACCGAGTCACGAGGATACAATAAAACACCACAATTGAACAGAAGAATGACACTTGATGCTCGAAATGTTATCTACACTAGTGACATTACTTGAAAAGGATCACTTTAACACCTCTACTTGATGGTGACAAACTTATTAGTACCATGTCTTGCCCAGTGATCCTTCAAGTCAACCGGATGAGTTAGATCGTAACCTTCTGAAGCTAATCTTACTAAGAGTTTCACATATGCTCCATTGCTCATCTTCCTCCCGGCCAAGCGAACACCAGGCCTCGATGAACTCATTGGAAGCGGGTATTCAGATACACTGATGGTGCAGCACGAAGATTGCCACCCACCAGCCCCCCATTTGTAGCAGACCCGTGCAATTCCAGTGCAAGAGCAATAAGGGGAAGGCACCCCGGAGAAGTCGCAGTTTGTTAAATCAATGTTCATGTTCAGATCCTTCTTTTCCCGTTTTGCTTCGGGGAAGCTCTGTCCCTTTCCTTTTCCAGAACCTGGTTTCTTCCTGGGTTGCTTTTGCTTCAGTACCTTGGATGTTATCTGATCAGGTTCTTTCGAAGAGGGCTTACGTTTCTTAGGTTTTGCAGATTTTGTTCCAGGGTTGTTGCTCTTTGCAGGCTCAGTTGTTGAAGCAACTGAACGAATTGGCGGTACAGGAAGACCATCTTCTGGGTTCAATTGGGTTTGTGAGGAAGGACCTGAGCTGACTTTTGGAGAAGGGAAAAATCCGCTCCCATAGAACCAGGCGATATGGGAAAGGGACGGTCCACTGTTAGCATCAGGCATGATATGGCCTCTATTTGAGTATGTCCCCATCTTCGAAAGCTATTGAAAAAACTCCGAGCAATCAGCATATAGGTCTACATCCGGAGGCCGCTCTGAGCAGTTCTCATTCCTGGCATCAGCAAAGCTGTACAGCATGAGTACTTCAAGAAGTACACCAAGGTCCGAAACAGTTTATTTGTTATAAATTCAATCATAATGCCTATTGCCTCAGCTTTGAGTACCAACAGAATGACACATGATGCAAAGGTAACTTTTGCACATTACAGTAAAAGATCAAGAGAACTCAATTTCAAGACTATACCAACAAACCAAATAAAAGAAGAGAGGATTTTTACTCGAATTTTTGCATCACAGTCCTACAGATGCCAACCATTTATTACACGATCATCATGGTCCAAGTCACTTCCACATTGATAAGTTAGAGGCATTTAACTCATACAACTAGTATATTTGCAAACTTACCGATTCCTGCTACAAAAATCATTCAACAATAACATGCGATATGCAATGTGTAGCAGAGATAAAATGAAATCTACCAGCAGAACACATAACATCATAAGGACCAAAAAAACTATAACCTAAAGAGGAAAAACCCAATCGTATGCAGCACATTTTCCAGTTCACGAAAACAGGAACTAGCATTACTTCACAAGGGCCGAGAGTTGCCTCTCTACTTGGACAGAAGCAACACCGACAAAGTTCGCAAGCCTCGCAAAATCTAAATCCAACCCAAAAAAAAAAAGTTACGCAAAGCCGCGCATCAACCCAAAAAAACCCAAACAAATTCATGACTCTAACACGAATCTCGCAAACCCACAAACGAAACCAGGAGCTAAACAATCATCAGCCACCGAACACAAGCCAGCAGACTGCAGCACAGCACAACATTTCGACCCACACATCAGCACCCAACAGTGCCGAAGCAGCTAAAAAAACCCTCAAAACACACACCAAAAGGGCGGAGCAAGAAACGGACTCAGCCCCCGCGACCATGCACACCCACTTCGCCAAACGAAGCAACGAACCGACCCACGACAAACCCGAAGGCAAACCACCCACCCCCACTTCACTACCACCAGTAAGCAAAGCCAAATAAAGCCTCAACAACCGCGTAACAGCACCAAATTCGCCGGGAACAAGCGAGGCAACGGCGCGCCGATCGGCTTCGCCGCGGTATTCCCGAGTAAAGGAACGATCTTTAGCTTCGATTTACCTGGAAAGAGGGCAGCGATTCGCGATTCCGAGGAACCCCGCTGGCTCGCACGCAGCTGAGAAGCAAAAAGGAAGAACTGTTCCTGTTCAGACAAATTTCGTTCCCTTTTTTCGCCTTTTGTTCGACCATGTTTTAGCGCACCGAGAGCTCAGTCGCTGGGTTGTCCCCCCCAACCACGCGCCGGTCAGGGGAGTTTGCGGGGCACGCTCCTGCGCGAGCGGGATCCGGACCGTTGAGACCGACGGTACGAACGGACGAGATTTCAGGATTTCGGGGATGCGAAAAGGACTTTCGAGCTTAGTGGGAATTGAAGATTTTAGTTTTTTGGTTGAATCTGTGTTTGTGAAAAGGTTGTCTAATTTCTTGGCAATCGCAAGAAGTATACCCGCGCGCTGTCGGGCTGTCGCGACGAGCTCACTAACCTCGAGATCGGATTATGCGAGTCAGGTCGGATACTTCGTTGTGAGCTCGGTCGGAATATTGACATAAATAGTTTTTAAATTTTGGCCCAATGTACAATTTGATCTCTAAACTTAAGTTCAATGTGATCTCTAAACTGTAGCCCAATGTGTAATATAATCTATGAACTTTCAATTTGTTCAATATAATTCATGAATTTTTAGTATACGTTCAACTTAATCTCTAAATTATATATAAATATTCAATGTTGTACCTGAATTTGAATTGATGGAAGGACACATTGAATATTTTCACATAGTTCGGGAAATAAGTTAAATATGTACCATAAATTCAGAGACCACATCAAACAAATTAAAAATTTAGGGACCGCATTGCATATTAAACAAATTCAGAGACTATTTGTGCTATTATCTCTTTTGATAAGGCCCAAAGTCATTAATGCTGGTCGTCCGTAGTCCATTTTTTGTACCAATATATATTTCCCTGTTGTTGCTTAACTACATTACAGACGCTCAAAGTATCATCAATACACATTGATGTAAGATTCTCTATTTGTTCATTTACATTAGCAGAAAAATGCTAGACACTAGACAGAGAGTCCTGGTGGCAATGCAAGTCCTCCAACTACTAGACTGACCCAGTTTACCAAAATATGGACACAATCCTAGGAGGGACTCTTCTGAACTCTGTACACCTTTGAGCACACCTTTGAGCGTAGAAACCCGACGGATCTGGCGAGAAAGGCCAAAAGACTGCGGAGTCGGAGCGAATCGATGCTGCTCATAGTCTCAGCCGACTATTGCAATCAAGCTTTGCCTGACGGCAGGAACCGAGCAAATCAAGGAGCCGAAAATGCCGGTGAGAGCATAGGCAATGGCACAGAAAGGGAGCGCCTCGGGTTCTTTCGCCGACAATGCTGCTGTTCCCAATCCGTGGGCACTACAAGATAGCGCGAGATATAGGACTTTCAGATACAAGTATGTATTTGTGTCTCTTACTTAATCAGTCCTGACAATGTCATTGAGTGGAGAACAAAAGTGTGCAACATGGTTACATTCCAGGAAGATGGTCAATGTTCAGTAAACATACCTTGATGCGGTAGCTATTCCTCGGGCAATAGGATCACGGAAATTAAGTCTATCCAGCATCGCTTGCACGAAGTTTGATCCAACTAACCCCGTTACCACCACCGCAGCAGCTGTAAGAGATGAATTGGCACCTGCACCAGTCGAGAGAGAAACGGAAGTTCCAAGCATGAATATCCAGTCACCATTGACCGAAAATATACCTTACTCAGGGAAAGAGAACGCTTATCGAGTAAAAAAAGATGAAAAATTCAGTCACATTGGCGTCAATTGCGCTTTAGAAAAGACGATTGCAGACATAATCTCGTATCGTAAATTGCAGTCCAATCAAAAATCTAGAATACCTTCAAATAGAGACACGATGCTGAGGGCCAACGCCACAGTTATACACCGAGGCAGAATCGACAACGTCAAAGTTGGTTCTAGTCCAACAAGACGTCCTACTATAGCCGTTGAGTACAAAGAGAAAATTGTTGAGATGATGACTGAAGTGAAAATTTCAGCTGCGTGTCTCTTAACAAGCTGCAACAACAGAGAATGGTGATTGTAAAAATAAAAAGGGATTCTCAAGTTACCAATCAGTGGACTGCAATTAGTCTGAAGAAGAAAAATATGAATTAGCAGCTAAGTTTAATATAATTGAACCATCTTTCTTGAGCAGTTTCTCACCAAAGCACCGGGTGCACACATGCTAGTACGAGGAAGAATGGTTCCATTTCAACCAATGAAATGTTCTTTCAACTTTAACTTTTCATGTTTCCTAGACATCCAAACTCCTAAGAGATAAGAAAGCTTATAACAGCATGAATATAACTGTATCAAGAAGTTTTCCTCCTAAACTAGTGATAAACTGTTTAACCTGCACTATTTGCTTTGTATGCTTAAATGTGCTCCAAACTAGCAACTCAAAATAACAGCAGCATCTAGAACTGAGGGTTAATTCCCAATCTGAGTGCCTGGATGAGAAGATATAAACTACCTTTCTCTGCTTGAACATGGAAAATGCAAAAGAGAGAATAACAGATCCCAAGAATCCCATTAGAATATCACCAGCTCCAGGATTGGCAGATGCCTTCGTAAGGTAATATCCTGTGGGTATGTTAGGTATGAGATCAAAAGTTTTGCAGTTTTCTGGACATCACGAACCATGTGAGATCAAACTGATGGAATTAGTTGTCATTCTATGCACACATCGCATGGTCATTATTCTTTGGTTTATTTCATCCATATAGGAAATCAATTTATATCTTCTCTATGGAGGATGCAAATCAGAAAGTCATAAAGCAACAGATTGCAATGGCATACGGATGATTGATGGAAATACTGCTTCATAAGTACTTTACCGCTTATGGGACATTATTTTTTTTCTCCTTAAAGAAGGCCACATAGCTATGCCTATTTGCTTCAAATGAATTGTTTTTTGGCCAGAATTGCGTCAAGTGAACTGAAAAGATTTTAAAGAGGTGTACATAAGATATGAATAGTTAGTTGGTTCTTAATGACGCAGAAGTATGCGAACCACCTTCCAGTCAGTTTAAGAAAATCATCCAAATCAATGAACAGTCATGACTTCACAAACAGATTACCTAGGACGGGATTCAGTCCAGACTTTGAAAGGTACCCAAATGCAAAGGCTGCCAGGTCTGCTGACAATCCACAGCAAATAATTGGATGGAAAATTTTCTTCACACCAGATGGCAACCTAAGAAAGAAAAGCATATGAAGATGGCCTCTTGACTTCAACAGACCATAGATCCTGCAGGACTTCTATGATGCAAATTTGCTAAGAGGAAGCCGAAATTACCCAGAACCAACCATGTAGCCTATCACAGTGGATGCCAGGAGGAAAGGAAGGCATGTTCTGGCATTGGTTCCTAGAGCAGTTGGGTACAAAAATGCTGAAATGAATGATATAACAAAAATACCACTCCAAGTCCACAATTCAAGTGACGAAAATGGTGAAGGTTTCGCCATTGGCTCAGCATCTGTCATCTCTGTCTTAACAAGTTTTCTTACTGCAATCGCGGTATAACCAGCTACAGAAAGTGAAGCCAACCATCCTCCAACTGCAACAGAAACAATGAAAACAGTTGCAGAGTTAAAAATCTTTATCTAACAGATGCACCTATTGAGCCCAACTGGCCACAGCAAGACACCACTCAACTTATCCAGACAAACTAATATAGATTCCGCGCATTTTCCTTCTTTTCCGCCTATTTTACATTTTATCCTCACGGGAACTCTCATATCTAACTGCAATGTAAGCTTCTTATTATCCCAAAGTATGAAAGCATACGCATGAAGATTGTGATTTTATCCTGTGCTTCCTTCCAGGCTACTGTCTGCACATTGACAACATCAATGAGGAGCTTCTTTCAGAGCACTGGGAATATTGCATTCTGAAGTAATACTATGCCATTACGGTGCACTAACTCATTGACAAGCACGACAGAACCCAGAAAGACAAAGTGACGATAGACTTAGGAAACAGGATAGGCGCAAGACTTTAATCCAAGGTCATTAGATTTCACTAGATAGTCACAACACAAGCAACCACAATGAGGACAAACACATAACTACACAGGGATCAAAGTGAGTGGATACCCAGTATAAAGCAAATTTTGAGCCCTGAAGCCGCGGGTATGTCCTCAATAGCAAGAGGCAAAACCACCAGACACGGAACATAAAACAGCGGAAGCCACCTCTGTATGAACAAAAGCGCCGGCTCAAAGAAGCTCATCAAACTGGTGGCTGCGGCGGGCACTGTAGAATCAAGAACCATCAGAACAGAGAATATGCAGAACATTCCGAACAGGGCACTCGGGAACTTGATCGCCGCCGCAACAAACGCCTTCTTCAAGAACTTATCCATTGCAAGGATTATCCCCAGCGAGACAACCAAATGCAACACCCCAAAGACCTAAAACACACATCAAAGACATTCTGGGATCAAAATTTGTAAAGTCATGCTAAATTGTATTAGCTGAGACCCCATAAAACATGCTAAGCGGCTCACTAAAAAGAAAATGAAAAGAGGACCTTTTGAGAGATCGTGGAAGTGCCACCACTCTCCGAGCTCGCTGAATTCACCAAAAGTGCTCGATCAGAGCAGGTGTTCTCGGCACCCACCATTTGCAAGAACCTGGGAGAGAACCCAGAATCGTGTCTGATCCCTGAACACGATATCTCCGAACCGGGTCTCTTATCCGCCCTTTGGCCATCGCTGCAAGCGAGCCGTGACGACGCGTGCGATTGGATTCTTCCGGAAGAAGAAAGCGACACGAGGGAACTTGAAGAAAAGGGCTTCCCCCGGTGTTGGCGGTTGTGACTGAAAAGACGGGATGGCGAGGGGTGGAGTGTGGCCGAGACAATCGCCATGGCAGGAAGCGGCGTGGAATTCTTGAGAGTGAGAGAGGGAGGAACCATCCTTTCGGCTGTTATTTGTTTGTGGGCCTTTTTCTTGGAGCGTTGGAGTTTGTATGGACTACAGGGGATGATGGTAAAACATTGGAGATGAGATTTGGACAGTAGCGGCAGCTTCTTGGCAGCTGCATTCGCAGTGAACAGCGCTTTTCAAAGCTACCCATTGGCTTTTGCCTATTGGCCAATGGCCATTGGAGTGGAAAACTTCCTCCATGAAGGGGCCGCTCCGTGCAACACGGCCCTCAGACCATTAAGCAAATTTGGTCAGAATCGGATTCGTCTTGTAAAGTAATATAGCCGGTTTCGTGGTTGTAGGATGGTGCAAAAGTCTAGCTTAGAAAACCCTGGTACGATGTCTCGGGCACGGCATCCGTAGACATGAGCACAGGCACTAGGCTGTCGTGCTTAGCCTCGAGGAATCAGGGTCCAACCACTATGGACTTGGACCCAACTACTGAGGAACCGAGCACCGGTGACACGGGTGTGGAAACCAAGTACCCGACATGGCCACCGAGGGCCCGGGCACAAGGTTTCAAGCCCGACCTAGAGGGACTTGGACCTAGCCTTTATAGAACCAAGCCGCTATAGAGGACCTAGGCTTGGCCTCCATGGAGCTGAACATAGGCACTGAGGTCTCAACCTAGGCTTAAGGGACTTGGGCCCGACGCTCTATAAACCTAGGCCCGTTCGTTGAGAAAATGGCCGGGCCTCAATGGCCTGGTCAAGCTAGTGACTTGAGCGCAAAAGCCGAGTACCCAAGCATGGCTGCCGAAGACCCAGGCACAAGCACCGATATCTCAAGCCCAGCCTCCATAGACCCAAGCAGGGGCAATGAGGTCTTGGGCTTCGTCTCGAGGGACCTGAGCCCGACCTCTATGAACAAGGACCCAACCATTGAGGAACCGGGCCCAGCCTTGATGGACTCTAGTAAGGTGCAAATGTGGGAGCCGAGTTCCCATAGAACCTAGGCATGGCCACCAGCATCTGGGCATGACCTCTGTGGACCCGAGCACGGGTACGTAGAGGGCATTATTGCTCTTTGATTAAATGGCTTGAAGTTGGGTTCTTTGCAAACCCATTAAAACCCATCATTCATTGGGTTTTACACTATTAGACCTATTTTAACCCATATTTTAAATTTCAGACAACTCATATTTCAGCCAACTTAACAACTACTAGTTAAAAAAAGATGGTGTAGGCTTAGCAAGGCACATTGCTATTGGAATGAGCTGTTCGACGAAAGTAATGGCGTCAAAGGGCGGTTCCTGAAATGAATATTTGATGCTTGGAGGAGCTTGTCTTTGTTAATTGTTATAGTGTGATTGAAGTCCATGAATATGCATCTGATGGTAATTAGCCCATTATTCCGTTGCGAAGATAGCTAAGCGGGAGGCACATGATCGTACAGAATGGCTAGCCAAAGCAAAGCACAGATCAGGATTAGAGGTGTTAGAAGACTAGGAAGAATTGCCTGAAGGATCAAGTAATCTGTGAGGCAATGTATTTGAGTCAGGCCACACAGGAGACTCAGTCCAATGGTGAAGAAAAATATGTCTATCTTACTAATCACTCACGTGGTGCTATGCGTGCCGATCTGATCACCATCGCATAGTCATCACCATCTTCAAAATTCATCCATCAGGAACAGTAAAAGGGCGAAACGTATTCGAGTCCTAACAACATGAAATAACTTCAGCTACCATGCTTCAGACGAATAATGGACAATTAAATGAGCAGGACGAGAATATCTCATGATAAATCATAATGCCTTCCGCAAAGAGTTACAACCATTTACACTTTTGTCAACTGAATTACGATGAAGCAAAAGAAAAGACAATAAAAATCTATAGGAACTTCATGTTCATCAGAGTTTGTCTAAACAGAAAGTCACTCAAATTTACACACAAGAACAAATACAAACAAGGAAACTACAAAATAGAAAAAAGTCACTCCAACACTAAGTAATTACATTGGACAGAGAGATTGTTAAAAGACTGAAAAAAAAAATAGGTTAGGCTTTCATAAGCGAGCGGAAGAGGACCTGTTGCTTCAAGGTTCAGCCTCGTAATGATAAGAATAGTAATGTTGTGTATTAACTTCGTAGTGATAAGCATGATGGGGAGGTGAGGGCGAGCTAAGTTCGCTTCCAGAAGGGCTGGCTACATGAGTTTGGTGCTTTTCTGCTCTGACTTGAACTACTTCCTCTTCCTCCAACTCAAATGACCGGTAAATTGGGTGCAGGTATGCATCAGCTAAGTATGCTTTCAAGTTCAGGTTCGGTTCTTCTTCTCGTTCCGCTAAATCTTTTGCCATTGCTTCCTGTGGAGGAAATAATGATCAAGAAAAGAAAATGAATTCCTGAAGAACTGAAGATAATGGATGGAGTCAGTTCAAGACTGTTTTCCAAAATGACCAGTAAGGGACACTGGGGAAATACCTCGAGCGGATGCTTCCTAAAGGCAGGTTCAAACCGATGCTTGCAATACTTGTGGAATGCCAACGTGAATACCGGTAATACAACAAGCAGAGGAGTTGAATTAGCAGCTTCTTTGGTACTGAGCAACCCCATTAGCAGAAGTTGAGATATCAGTAAGCTTGCAATAATGCGGCTGTGAACATGGGGCCAGAATGCAGCGACACTCTCATATTGCTGATTGTAGACATTAATTATCTGCAAACAGATCGCCTATTAATACAACAGCGGATTTCTCCTACTTAAAAACTAAGGGGACTAGAGATAGAACAAGTATCATTTGCTATCATTGAATTTTAAGTCACGGCAGTTACCAACTTACATATCAGAATCAAATAAAATAAAAAAACAGTTCTACAATAGCCTCATAACTTATCCTGCATCATTTCCCAAGAAAATTTAGCTTCCAAATGATTTCTATCTCTAGGGAGTGCCAGTTTGTTATGTTCTACGCTCTATCGAGGTTGTATTAGTAAATCCCTAAAAAGAGGGGGAGACTTAGCGCAAATAAATGAACTCAAGGAAGATACGCACAGGAACGCAAAGCATTCAAGCATTAACTGACCTGATGACGGTAGACTAAGTATGCAAAGGCAAAGAACACCAGAATAAATGGAAGAAGAATCGGAGTAATCACAGCATAAACAATTCCCAGAAGAAAGTACAATTGGAGGGTTGGGAGAGTCTCTGGAAAATCTACACTTCCAGGGTCCATGGCCCTTTCCCTGTCCCGGTCAGTCTTCACCAAAAACATATTCTTGAGGTGGTATATGACCAATGGCTTTAAACGGAGAATCTCGGCAGCAATCCCAGCCCAACCATCAACCATTATGTAGGTAATAAAGAAAGTAGCTTTCATTGGTATTGACACCCCAATGGTCCTCGGTATCCTGAAATGTGATGAAAAACTCCATAGAAAATTCTTCTTATAACAGAAAAACAAGTTAAAAGCTAATTATTTAAGTTCCTGGGGATAAAATGCACCAACAACTGTCGGCTATGACTTACATCTTATAAGAACATACTTTTTAATATGCACTGCAAAGCAGTAAGCAGAAGAGTATTTCCCTAATTCACTCATATCAGCATCTTTTTGGTTACTAATGAGAATCTACCAACTTTGAGACTGTAAATATAGAATCAGGAAAAGAAAAGACTAATACCAATAATTTGTACGAGCAAACCCTAATAGAAAGAAAAGACATTGTATGGACAAATAATGAAAACTATTGCAAGGGAAGGTACGACAAGGATCTCACGAACTATATTACTACCAAGAAAAGTGCATGTGGGTGCACCCATGCATGCTCATGTCTGGGAGTGAGCAAGTGCTCGTGCATGTGAGTGAGTCTGTGCTGTGCGGGCATAAGTGTGGTCATGAATACACAACATGAGAATTATAGTTCTTTTGACACGTCGAATTCTTATTACTAAACCAAAGGAAAAATCAGAAATGCTCCAGAGTCGAGAAGAGAGAAACTTTCTGTAACAGTAAACAGGGATTTGCGATGCCAAAGACCACTGGGTAAAAACTTGAAACTTCTGCATCCATGACTTGTTTGCAGTACCAAGTGACAAGTGCTTCAACTAAATTAGAGAGATGGTCAAACTCCCACTGAATTAAATGAGAGAATAGACCGATTGAATTGGCACTGACACAGAGGTCTACACGTAATTATGAGCAGGAGTATCTGAGACAATATGCACAGGAAACTAGCAAAAAAAATAAAATGATGTAATCTTACTCAGTAGCTGACTGATGCAAGAAAGAATGCAGTTGCTGAAATGCTGTTCCAGTTATAATGCTTCCCAAGAAGACATTAACCAGCATAAAGTAGTAGTACTTTGAAGCAGCCCTCCGTTCCAACGTCGACAATGCAATGTACCCCTCAATCTTCGACATGATCAACAGTACTGTAGGAAGGATGTACAAGAACATCTTAAGGACTAGACCCGGGAGGAAACCTTGTAAGAATGACTTGATAAAGTTCCTGCAAGTTCAGTGAAAGATGTAAGGATAAACGTGCAAACAGGCAGGAACCTCCATGACAATTGCAGCTACAAATCTCATTTCCCCTTTCAGAAACTAGAGATATCTCTCTCTTTCAGTCGATAATGAAGAATTACCAAAATTGCATTTCCAAGACGTAAACAGTCTATTCTGTGGTTTAGTATGTGAACTCATGGGTCCTGTAATATACTCACAGTTCTATCACAGGCCTGAGGAAAGGAGCAACTCTTTCTAGACCCTCCAAATTCGCAAGAGATTGCACAAATGCAATTGGTATCATGTAAAAGAACACCAGAGCAAACACCAACAGGGATATCACAAGCTTCCGAATGGTCAGTGAAACAAATGGTATAGCTAAGTTCTCCCAATAGACGTCCCGAGGTTCTGGAGCCCAGTTTGTCAACCATAAGGTGGGATTCTTGCTTTGCTGCGTCTGTGCACAAACTGCAGCCCCCCATCGTGAATTAAAGGAAACAAAAGCAACTGGTAGAATGGACTTTGGATCTTTAATAACTTGGTCACGCTCCACGGCCATCTGACGAAGGAAGCAAGTAGAATAAAACGCGTCGATACAATTAAAAGAATTCAATTGAGAATATTGGAAGACCTAGTGCTGCTCTAAATGAAAAAACCGAT